TCATGCTGACTTCAGAAATGGTTTATTTTCCCAAATGAATGTGCACGCTCTTCCATCAAGACGTTTTGAGGGTGGTGATGGATTTGAAAGGAAACGTCCATTATCTTTAATGAGGATTTCCTGCATAAATCTACCAGATCTGTATCAGGGAAGACACTCTGTGCCCCCCAGATCTTTTATTTCAGGCTCTCTGATTACTGAAAGGATTAGTGCTGGGACAACAAAATAATTAAGTTCTTCTTTGAGTGCTTGTTCATGTCCATTCCAATCAGGTGTGTGTGCACCGCGTGCACTATCATCGGAAAGTTTTCCCTTAGCAGCTCCCATCGGGTCGGCTGTGGAGCCCGCTGGAGTGATGCCTTCATGGCACTCAATATATGACCCTGCCGACCCACCCCAACCCCCCTTCAGTTCCTTCCTACTGTCCGTGACCGCCGTTGGAACAGTGCTCACTTACTCAGCAAGTACTCCCTTAGCGTTCTTCTGTTAGTCATTACAGCTTATAGTTAGTGTTATAGTTAACGTAGTATAGATAGTTAGTTTAGATAGTAGGTTGGGAGCGGGGTCTCTCCCCAATCCCTAACCCCCCTTGGAGTCTGCGGCATGCCGCGAGCACAAGGCTTTAAGCCCTGCGGTGCTTGTATAAACCTATGCCCATCAGTGACTCCCACAACTCTTGTTTAAAGTGTCTGGGGGAAGTGCACCAAACTGAATGGTGCAAAATCTGCAGGGCTTTTCATCCAAGAACCAAAAAGGAGCATGATTTCCAACTAAAACAATTGTTAAGGGAATCTGCTGTCCGCTCACAGCCGGCTGCAGACCACCAGGACCCGGCACCAGGCGCGTCCGTACGGAGTGCTCCGGCATCCGTACGCGACACGGTGCCGAGAAAGGACTGTACCACAAAAGACCGTCAGCACCAGCACTCCCTGGCACCGCACCGAGGGATAATGGCCCAGCACCGCTCAACTTCCCTGGTGCCGCACAAGAGACACAAGAAGGCCGAAAGAGGGCACTCGCTGGTACTGATATCTGTGGGACCGTCAGGAGATGCACGGGCGCACCCCAGAAAGGACCCGGTGCCAAGTCAGCACGAGTCGGTGCCATTGACTTCAGTACCCCACAGGGGACCGTCAAGTCCGGCACATAGCAACTCTTCGACAGGGCAGTGCCAGGTGGAGGTGTTAGAGCCACCCTCCACCCCGGACACTTTTGAAGCCGCCAGAGACCTCATCAAGATGACGGCTGGACAGCCCCCAGCTCTCAGAACAAGCCTCCGGTGTCGATAAGACCAGTACGGTCTAGAGGCAAGGCCGCTATGATGCGGCGCTCGCAGTCCCCGGCTCGGCACCATACCCGGTGGCGCTCTCAGTCACCTTCGCCGCGGCACCGCTCACCGGCACCAAGCCCCACGAGAGCACCTCCGACACCAGCGATGTGACACTCCCCGTCCCCAACACTGAGGCCAGACCGATCCCCGGTGCCAGCAGAGGATCAGCACTGACCCGCAGCACGAGGCATTCAGCCTTGATCGCCGGCACCAGATACCCGCTACTGGTCCCCATCACTGGATCCCGGGCACCGGTCCCCAGCGAGATCATCCAGGAACTGGTCCCCCAGTTCATCACGGCACCAGTCGTCGGTGCCTGGGCCCTCGCACCACCATGGTCTCGCAACTGGTATCTGCTTCCTCGGAGTCTGATGCCAACTTGTACAACTCGATGCACAGTCAACATAGGTCCAAGAGGCAATGAAGGAAGGTGCCGCCAGCCTGGCAGCTGCAGTGGCAGCCCCCGGCGCAGTGGCCCTTTTGGACCCCCTGGGCTTACCATCAGGCCCAGGGTACCTTTTGAAGGGGGTTGAGATCAGTAGCATCAGAACACCGGTCACCCCACTCTCCTAGGGACAGGCCTATGCCTCGGGGATCCGAGGCTACTCTGTCCCAACTGCCCCTTCAGTCTCCAGTTTCAGCAGAGGCAACCCCAAAACAGGACCAGTCACAGAGTCAGGATACAGCATCCCAGGCACTAGCTAACTGCCACAGGGGCATTCACTGACCAAGAGGAGGTCAGAGAATCGGAGGGGTAGGAGGACCCGGTACCCCCTCTGGCTTCCTTGTCCTCTTCCCTGATGAAGCTGTGGCAAGGGCGTCAGCTTCGGGCCTTCCTCCAATTGACCATAGGGCACATCAGGACCTCCTTAGGCGGATTGCCCATCACATGGGGTTGCAAGTGGAGGAGGTGGTCAAGGCCGAGGACCCCATTGTGGATATTCTCGCTCCCAAAGGTCCATCACGAGTAGCTCTGCCTTTGATCAAAACTGTTGAAAACAACATAAAGACCCTGTGGCAGACCCCGGTCTCGATTCTGCTGACTGCCAGGGGTGACAACCCATTCGCAACCCAGAGCAACAAGAAGTGCCCAATGTTCTGCTCCTTCCAGAAACACAGCCTGGGTTCAATCATGGATACGTTTCTGCTACCCTGGGGACCGCTTCATGTATGCCTTCCCATCGGTCCCACTTGTACACAAGATGCTGCTCAAGATCCGCAGGGACACAGTGGAGGTCATTCTGCTGGCCCCTGCGTGGCCCGTCAACGTTGGCACACCACACTTCTGGAGCTGTCAGTGGACACCCCAATCATGCTACCACTCTACCCCGATCTGATCACTCAGGACCAGTCGCCTCCATCACCCAGACCTCCAGTCCCTCCACCTCATGGCCTGGAAGCTTCATGGTTAAACCCCATGGAGCACCTATGTTTGGAGCCGGTAAGGGAGATTCTACTCGGCAGCAGGAAACCTTCCACCAGAGCTACTTATCTAGCCAAGTGGAAGAGATTCACTTGCTGGTGTGCCCAGCAACACCCCCCCCCACCCACTTCAGGCGTCTATACCACTCATCCTGGAGTACCTTCTGCATCTCAAACAGCAGGGCCTAGCTGCAGCATCCATCAGGGTGCACCTTTCTGCTATCTCAGCCTTCCACCCGGGAACATCTGGACGCTCCGTATTAGCTAATCCATGGTAGGATGTTTCCTCAAGGGCTTGGAATGCCAATATCCACAGATTAGGCAACCAGTTTTTGCATGGGACCTTAATCTGGTCCTCACCAGCTCATAGGGCCCCCTTTTGAACTGCTGGTGACTTGCTCCCTGCTCTATTTGTCATAGAAGGTGTCCTTCCTGCTAGCCATCACATCAGCCAGACGGGTGATCAAATTAAAGCTCTGACCCACCTTACACGGTCTTTCACAAGGACTAGGTACAGCTCAGGCCTCACCCAGCCTTCCTCCTCAAAGTAGTGTCCCAATTCCACACTGGTCAAGACATTTTTCTATCCGTCTTCTATCCTAAGCCTCACACCAGTACCCGGGAGCAGAGGCTGCACTCACTGGATGTTCGGAGAACACTAGCATTCTACATTGAGCGTACAAAACCATTCAAGAAGTCAAACCAACTGTTTGTGGCGGTAGCAGACCGTTTGAAAGGACTCCTGGTCTCATCTCAAAGAATATCTTCCTGGATCACATCCTGCATCCGCACATGTTACAAGTTAGTCAAGGTCCCAGTCCCAACTCTTACGGCACATTCCACAAGGGCACAACCCTCGTCAGCTGTGTTCCTGGCCCAGATCCCGACACAAGAGATCTTCAGCAACAACTTGCATACGTTTACCTCTCACTATGCTATCACCCAACATGCCAGAGATGATGCAGCATTCAGCAGGATGGTGCTCCAATCAGTGATTCCTTAACTCCGACCCCACATCCGGGGTAGAGCTTGGGAGTCACCTGATTGGAATTGACGTGAACAAGCACTCAAAGAAGAAAAGACGGTTACTTACCTTCTCGTAACTGTTGTTCTTCAAGATGTGTTGTTCACGTCCATTCCAATACCCACCCTCCTTCCCCTCTGTCGGAGTAGCCTGCAAGAAGGAATTGAAGGGGAGTCGGGTTGGCAGGATCATATATTGAGCACCATAAAGGCGCCACTCCAGGGGGTTCCACAGCCGACCCAACGGGAACTGCTAAGGGAAAACTTTCCGACGACCGTGCACGCAGCACGCGCACACCTGATTGGAATGGACGTGAACAACACATCTCAAAGAACAACAGTTGCAAGAAGGTGAGTAATCATCTTTTTGCAGTACATAGCACTTACAGACTGCACTGCTTTGTCATTCAAGGATCACAAAGTGCTAGGTGGGTCAGTATTGTTATCCCCATTCAGTGGTGGGGAAACTGTCACACAGCAGAGATTATATGACTTGTCCAAGATCACATTTTCTTTGCTGCAGTGTTTACTCAAGTGTTGCCCCTAATACACGACTCTTCACTCGAGTGTGGTGGTGCTTTTAAATCAAGTTGGCTGAGGGTACAGGCTGCGTCTGGAGTTAACACAACTCATCAACTGCTAAGGACTTGTCTGCATGGGAAGTTAGTGCCCAGCAAGCTACAATGTGAATTTACAGCACTAGCTACTCTGCACTTACACTGCATGTGGACAATCTTACCATGCATCAGAAGTGCCTCTGTGTGCTTTAGGTTAATATGCTTTAAAGTGCTAACCATCTTAGCTTGCTGCTCACTAACTTCTCTTGTAGACAGGCCCTAACACAATCACACTGTGCAGCTCAAGAGTTACTTTGCAGCGTGGTTACTCACACTTCAGAGTAGTTAACTCAAGTTACCTACATTCGAGTTAACTCTGCAATGAAGATTTAACCACATGAGTCAGTGACATAATTGGGAATTAGAACCCAGATCTCCTGAGTCTAATCCTTTCACCCTATCTACCAGACCACTCAGATTTAACCATTTGTAATTATTACTTAGTTACAGAAGTCAAGAAATTATTACTTTACAAAATTTGAGTAAGACTGGCACTGAATTTTAGAACGTTTACTGTTCGTTTATTTAAATGAATCCCTGTGCTTACAGGATTGCTTCCAATCTACACAGTCATTTGCTCATAATGGGAACTTTTTGTCTATTTCTAGGGTAGAAATCTAGTCACAGGGGAGCTTGGCTACTTTCCAAGTGATGCCGTAAAGCCTTGCCCATGCGTAAGTACAAATGTTTAATTGTGTTTGTCGGTATAATAGTTTCCTCAGGAACATTCATAGGAAAAGTTGCCTGGTTCATACCAGGGTTTCATTAATCCTGCCTTGTGGGAAGCATTATTTTAGTTTTTGTGTTTGTATGTTACATTCGATGTTGTTTAAAAATATAACATTCTAATGCTTTTGGTTATTGGATTTAAATTGTAAGTGTTAAGCAAACATGCTCAAGAGATAGATTTTAACTTTTGGGAGTTTAATAAATTAAATTGTCTAAAGAGTTTTCAGATAAATACAATCAGACTATAGAACAAATATATTGTGCAGTAAAGCTGTTGGGTTTTTTTACAGTGAGATGAAAATGCTGTGGTTTTAATCTGTTTCCCAGTCACTTTGAATTACAGAGAGAGATTATACCATAAATAGTGAGTTTAAAAAAAACCCTGTAAAAGTAAAAATAGAATAAAGAACAAACAAATGAATAAATAAACCCTCCAACCAGATCTTTCAACATACTTCTGTATCCCTGTATGCTTTGACCTGCCTGTGTTTTGTGTTAAGAGGACAAATACTCTCAAAATACTAAAAACTGCAGCAGAATAACGATAAGAAAAATTAATTTACAGTATGTACTCCTAATTTTTGTATGAGCATGTTAATATATTGTGCACTCCTTCATTGTGACTTTCCATAATACTTTGGATCAGATCACCATTGTGTTACTCCAGATTTAATGTAGTATAACTCCATTGAAATTAGTGGAGTTACATTGGTATTAAACCAGAATAATACAATGGTTAAGGGGCTCCCTTGCTTTGCTGTAAACATGCTTTAACTTGATTCAGAACTAAATTCAACTCTATTAATAAATCTACTTTGATTACAACATTCAAGATGTCATCATGATGGTAATGTTATTAGGTAGCAACCTTTTAATGATAAAACAGTTTTGACACATTATGATGGCCTTTAAGGTTTAGATCAAACCTTAACTCCAAAATAAATCTCTACATTAGTAATACATCATAATATTGTTTAACAGCAGATCAACAAATCTTTTACCATTTATAATTAGGGCTGTTGATTAATCGCAGTTAACTCATGCGATTAACTCAAAAAAATTAACTGCAGTTAAAAAAAAAATCGTGATTAATCGCACTGTTAAACAATAGAATACTAATTGAAATGTATTAAATATTTTTGGATGTTTTTCTACATTTTCACATATATTGATTTCTATTACAACACAGAATATAAAGTATACAGTGCTCACTTTATATTATTATTTTTAATTACAAATATTTGCACTGTAAAAATGATAAAATAAATAGAATTTTTAAATTCACCTCATACAAGTACTGTAGTGCAATCTCTTTATTGTGAAAGTGTAACTTACAAATGTAGATTTTTTTTTTGTTCTATAACTGCACTCAAAAACAAAACAATGTAAAACTTTAGAGCCTACAAGACCACTCAGTCCTCCTCCTTGTTCAGCCAATTGCTAAGACAAACAAATATATTTACATTTACGGGAGATACCGCTGACTGCTTCTTATTTACAATGTCACCTGAAAGTGAGAACAGGCATTCACTTAGCATTTTTGTAGCCGGCGTTGCAAGGTATATTTACGTGCCAGATATACTAAACATTCATATGCCCCTTCATGCTTTGGCCACCATTCCAGAGGACATGCTTCCATGCTGATGATGGTTGTTAAAAAAATTATTCATTAATTAAATTTGTGACTGAACACCTTGGGGGAGAATTGTATGTCTCCTGTTCTGTTTTACCTGCCATATATTTCATGTTATAGCAGTCTCAGATGATGACCCAGCACATTTTCGTTTTAAGAACACTTTCACAGCAGATTTGACAAAACGCAAAAAAAGTACCAATGTGAGATTTCTAAGGATAGATACAGCACTCAACCCAAAGTTTAAGGATCTGAAGTGCCTTCCAAAATCTGAGAGGGACAAGGTGTGGAGCATGCTTTCAGATGTCTTAAAAGAGTAACACTCTGATGCAGAAACTACAGAACCCGAACCACCAAAAAAGAAAATGAACCTTCTGCTGGTGGCATCTGACTAAGATGATGAAAATGAACATGCATCGGTCTGCTCTGCTTTGGATCGTTATTGAGCAGAACCTGTCATCAGCATGTCTTCTGGAATGGTGGTTGAAACATGAAGGGACATATGAATCTTTAGCACATCTGGCACGTAAATATCTTGTGGCACCGGCTACCACAGAGCCATGTGAACGCCTGTTCTGACTTTCAGGTGACATTGTAAACAAGATGTGGCCAGCATCATCTCCTGCAAATTGTAACCAAACTTGTTTGTCTGAGCAATTGGCTGAAGTAGCACTGAGTGGACTGTAGGTTCTAAAGTTTTACATTGTTTTATTTTTGAATGCAGTTATTTTTTGTACATAATCCTGCATTTGTAAGTTCAACTTTCATTATAAAGAGATTGCACTACAGTACTTGTATTAGGTGAATTGAAATATATTATTTCTTTTGTTTTTTACAGTGCAAATATTTGTAAGCAAAAATAAATAAAGTGAACACTGTATTCTGTGTTGTAATTGAAATCAATATATTTGAAAATGTAGAATCATCCAAAAATATTTAAATAAATGGTATTCTATGATTGTTTAACAGTGCGATTAATCTTTTTAATTGCTTGACAGCCCTATTTATAATCTCACAATCCTGTTCACAGAGATACTTATCATTCCATTGTTACTTTAAATTTAAGGCTATGTCTACACTATGCAGCTCTTAGCGACACGGCTGTGTCGCTACAGCTGTGCTGCTAAAAGGCGCGCAGTGTAGCCGCTGTTTGTCGGTTTTTGTCGTTCAGTTGCCAGTTTAAACATAGCCTTAGTCCTGTTAAACAGAGTGACAACGCAGATGCCTGATAAAGATAATATACTACTCATCAAAATGTTATGTAACAGAGCTTAACTTTTTTTGTAACCCTATTACCATATTTTATTAAGCATAAAGGCTGTGGCAGTTTAGTGTCCCACAGTCATGCTGGATGGTGTTGGGTACAGTCAGCACATGCCTTGAGCTAGTGTCAATCATTGGAGCTGCCCTGTGGATTTAGAAACGCCACTCTAGGGCAGTACCTAAGATAAATATAGGGGGCTACTGTAAATACTGTGGAGACCATATTTATTTATCGGGCAAAATCAGCTCATTTTGAAAGAGTACCACCGTCGTTTAAAGTGGGAAACTCACATAGTTAAGGAAAAACTCTTCTGTTAAAGCTACCACCGCAACACAAAGATTACTTAGTGTCTAGTGACATAGCTTTCTGCTAAATTTAGAAATATACTATTAAGCAGAGGATTGAATGAAAATAACATGATTTTACAGTATGAATAAATATTATTCATGACATGTTAGCAACCAGAGGCATAAACTGACAAGAAAGATGAATTGATTCTTCACCACTGCTAACTTGGAAGGGGAAAATATAAACATCTTATTATGACAAACAATGCAGTTAAAGATACCGAAACAGCTATCAGATTTTTAACGTATTATAACTTGTACTATTATTAGTGTTACAGTCTTTACAACCGGCCAATATAAAAATGCCCAGAAACAGCATAAAATACATATATCAAAAGGCTTTAGGAATGAATATTGAATGAAAAATTGCTGAGTTCCAGAATATCAAATTCCAGTCCCTTCTCAGCTATACCTATAAATGCTTTATTCTTATTGCAATATGCAGTATTTGTCAGCAGACATTTTTATACCATATGAATAGTATCAGAGTCTGTGTCTTTTGTTCAGTTTTCTCATTGCGGTTGCTTGGATTTGGATGTATAATACAGTGCAAGCCAACAGCTTCTAGTACGTTTGATTGTTTTCTTTTTTCTCTGCAATGGACAATCTTTATTTTACAACTCAACACACTCGGGGTTGAAAAGGATTAATGATTGCTGGTGTTCTAGCCGTCTGCAACCAAAATGACCTGCTATGATAGATGAGCCAAACCAATTTAGAATTTCAGATTCCATCCAATATAGGACTGTATGGGAGGGTAGTGGTCTTCCTAATTGCCACTACTGTCTTGCCACTGGTACACTCACATCAAGTAATTTGAACTACTTTCCAAACTTCATTCTAACAATACAAAACATTCAAAATGTAAAATTCTGTAGGCTAACATAATTATAGAAGTATCTTACATATAAAGACTGGCTTTATATACACTGGGCTTTTTCCTGACAGTTTTTGACTGGAGCAGCTTCACTAATGATAGGAAGGTAGGAGTGCTAGCTGTCAGCATTTTTAACGTTTAGACCGTCTCTCAGCCAGGTGGGAATGATGCCTGAGCTCTATCTACTACGCTGTTGGTAACAACGGCCTAGCTGGTTTCATTCTGATATAATGCTGCTTTATTTTCCTAGTGCTTGTCAGAGGTTCGTGTAGGGATATGAGAGAATGTGTCACCAACTAAATCCCAGCCCATGTCTGTTGTAGCTAAGCTTTGATGCAATGGTGTTACAAATGGACAGTATACTTTTTGAATTTGTTTAGGCTGTCATGGCTTTGGAGTCCATTATAGATTCACAGCTGCTCTCCTTCTTGTTCTCTTACAACATATACTGACATTTGGCTAGCAATAATTCCATTCCTGATCTCTTTGCATTTTACAAAAGCCTTCCATTGTTCTGGTTAACTCTTGCCCTCTCTCCCCCAATCTCTCTGCCTAGTCTAATTGCTTTTAACACCATCCTGGGTGGAAGATTTATTATCATACAAATAAATAGGTCACACTATTCTTAGAGCAGAACTCTTTAACATATTGACAACAAATTCACACTAGTGGCGCCTTTGTGCTTTGGGGAAAATACAGTTTTTGGTGATAATGTAATACAGATTGTCAGCATTAAAATCATAGATTCAGATGCATTCAAATAAGGTTAAGAGGCTGGTTATCTGTCCAAAGTACCTTTTACAAAAGCACTTAGGAGGAAAAATTGGCAATCACACAAAATGCTAAGGGCAGTAAGCAGGACTCTGAGCTCTGCAAAGGTCATTTCAGAACCTGAACCTTACAATTTGGATCACAAGGGTTGGAAGCAAATCAACACTATGCAGGATGGGAAGTTCAAGCTAGCCAAACTTGTGCCCTCCAAGAGGGTCTCAGGGGTTTTGGTATCTGTTGGTGGGGAGCATGGAAGTCGGTTGGGGAAATATTCATTCAATTCACATATTGTATATGCATATATATACTATCCTTTTTTGTATGTTTGATTTTAGTTTATTTTAAACTATTTGAAAATTAAACAAAGCAGGAACACATTTTGAAAGGACAACTATTTAAATTCAAGTTTAAGAGTAAAACTTGTGTCATGCAAATGTATTAATAAATTCATACAATACCTCAGAAATGTATGGATTATTCAGTTAACCATCTCAAGAGATTATATAACATGCCACCTAAGCTTTTACTTCAACTAAGAATAGTGCCTTTTCAAGGCAATCTAATTCAAAAAGCACTTAGTGAATTTAGTGTGCATCATTGTACATTCAGTTGCACACTTTAATGATGCATTGCAACAATATGCCCTATTAGATGAGCATTTTATGGATGAAATGAGAGTGGAGGCACTGCCAAAATCCACTTCAGATAGATTAAGAAAAAAAAGCAATATGGAATTTGTAGCACTTATCTGTCCAAAATTTAAAAAAAACTCCCCCAACAACAACAACAAAATACATTAGCTTAATATTCTGTCCTGTTTTCGGACCTATACGAGGTATTCACACTATTACTTTATTCTGAATAAAGTAGACTAATAGATGAAGAAATGTGATCAATCTGATTCTTATCCCCTCGGTTTGATGTAGGGTATTTGGTCATTAGATCAGTGCTAACTAATTTGTGAGTCAATTAGAAAAATATTCTTTAAATAATTATATTCTATGATATCTTTTTACACCCTAGGTGCCTAAACCAGTAGACTACTCTTGCCAACCATGGTGAGTCCTGGACTAGTCCTATGAAAATCACATTGAAATAGACAGCCATAGAGAGAAAACTGTGTTTATCACAATCTAATTCAAATTGCTTTAACCTTTCTTGGCTTCTGAAGAAGGTATTGTGTAGCAGTTTTGGAAAACAACACTGAATATGCACTGCCTAAAAGCATTTCTCATATAATAATGTGCTTAATGATTTTGACATTTTGTTTACAAGTCTATATATACACAGGCTGTATCCCAGAGGTCTCTAAAGTGGTATAAGAAAAAATCAGTACAACATGAATTATGCAAGAAGATCTTACATTTTAAGTGGCTAAACAAAATGAAGAAAGTGATATTTTGTTTTGTGAATAATTCTGCTGAAATTTTGTTAGACAGAAAAGCTATCTATTAAGTGATGTAAATGGACAATGTATCAACTCTACAACCACTGTCAAAGTGAATCATAATGTAGTGTAAACCCTCTGCTCTGGAGTGAATTTGACTTAAAAGGATTATAAATTCACAGTGACTGATTCTGTTTTTACAAATTTATTCCTGATTTATACTGGGTTGCAGTAAGTGAAATCAAAATCAGATCCACTGATCCAAACAAAAACTTAGCTTTCATAGACAGTGAATAAAATCCCAAAGGGGAAAAGTTGCTGTTTTTAATTTGATTCTAGCTTCAATTATGCTCCTTATAGTTTTGACAGAAGAAAGGACAAAAATAGCATTGTGTTCAAAAACTAAAGTTGAGGTTCTTTCAGGATAAAACTTTATTTTCTAAGCATTTGTAACTTAAACGTGGGAAATTGCCTTAGGCTGAAACTTGCCTTAAAAAGTCTCAGCCTGGGAGCTCATATTTTGTGATAATTTGAAGAACATCCTCTCTAATACTTTCTTTTAAAACTAAAAGTAGCCCCAAAGTTGAAATTTGAATTTTTTTGTGATATTTAAAGATTTTTTAATGATAGATTAAGTAGTGTAACTATATATACAACTGGATTAAGAATCTTAATGTATTATAGTTATATGTATTCATTTTAAAAAATTGTGCACAGTACTGGTTCCAAATATTGACTGAAATTATTCTGCTTTTAAAAAGTAAAAATAAGCAATTGTTTCATTTTAATAAATGCACATTTTTCCCCCACAGTTAAAAATGTAGGCCCCAATTCTGCAAGCAGATCTCTGCAGGCAGACCCTTATGGAATCTTTTGTCTCAACCATTTCAGACCTGGCCATAGTTTAGGGCTGAAGTAGATTTTGAATCTCATCTGTTGGGGTTTAGTCTGCACATTTACATTTTAGCCTTTAGAGTAAAATAAATAAATATGAATCAAATGAAATTATTTTTGTTTGTTTAAAAACAAAATTAGTGCATCAGTTGGCTGATTCTCCAGTCTCTTACACCAACTTCACCTGAAGGCAGTGGAGTTACACTAGTACAAGACTGGTATAACATAGTGTATATACAAAATATTTCAAATAAGTAAATTCCATCACCTGGTCCAGGCCACCGTTTAATTATATTTTCAGTATAGGCCTCAGTTCAGCAAAGTACTTCAGTATGTGCTTAAGTGCTTTTGAAGTCAGTGGGGTTTAGGCACATGTTTAAGGTTTTGTCTACACTACCACTTTTGACGGTAAAACACCCCCCTAAGTTTCACCAGTAAAATTGCTGGTCCCAACATAGCTAATGCCGCTCATTGGGGGTGGTTTAATTATGCCAGCAGGAGAGCTCTCTCCTGCCAGCAAAGAGCAGCTACGTGGGAGACCTTACAGCGGCACACTTGTAGTGGTACAGCTGTGCCGCTGTAAGGTCCGTAGTGTAGACATAGCCTAAAAGTTAGCACATGCATAAGTGCTTTCCTAAACAGGGATGAACTTAATCTTGTGCTTCAGTGCTTTTCTGAATAGAAGCCGTAGTCCTTTGTGCCCAAAAGTGGGAGAGCATATTGCACATTTTACCATTACTTATAAATTTCTGTGCTTTTTATTATTTTCCTGCACAATCTTGAAATACAGTTCATTTACCAGTAGCTTTTGACGTATCTTTCATTCACCATCTCATGTAAAATATTGGAACATTAAATTGTGTATTGGAAAGACCTACTGCACAGCTTCAAAGATGAGCATGACTAGTATTTATTTGCTTTCCCTACAGGTATGCAGGAGCAATGGAGAGGCTGCAAGCTGAGAGTGAACTTATTAACAGGGTAAATAGAACTTACTTGGTGCGACACAGGACCAAAGAGTCAGGAGAATACGCAATAAGCATTAAGTAAGTGGGACAAGCACTTTTACAGAAATAGATTTCCTGTTTTCATTATTGCCTAGGCAGATGTTTGTAATCAATAAATACAGAAAATCATGAATCTCATTGCAGCTTAGATAATCATCTAATATCCTGTCACTTAGTGCATAAAAATATCAGTTGCTGGAAAAGTAGTTCAGGCATAGGACAAAAAGTGTAAATCAGCATAGCGCCCCTGAAGTTAATGGAAAGATACCAGTTTACAGTGGCCTCTTGGATACTAACAGGCAATTGTTTAGTCCTGATTCAACTCCTGTTGATGTTAAGGGGAGTCAGTTCAAGTCTTTAGTTTCTAGGACATTTCAGTAAAGAGTGTGTTAGCAAATACATTTCAGTAGAGTGTGTTCGTTCTATCAGCACAAATTACTAAGCGAGTCTTGTTTGTTTCTGCATCGATCCTCAATATGAACTTGAAAGCAAGCAATATATGGGATCCCCTAATTAGAAGTAACTTTTTTTTCGGCATACAGGCTACATCTTCATTCATACACTAATAAATATATTTGGTTAATTAGATGTCAACTGTGTATTGGCATGGATATACATTTCGTCTTTAGAATTTATTCATGTAGTGTTTTTGAGGTATGCCCTCGGGTAATTATTGATCACCACTGATTAAAAACACATTTATATTAATAAGTTATTAATTGCCCACAGGTACAATAACGAAGTGAAACACATCAAGATTTTAACAAGAGATGGCTTTTTTCACATTGCAGAAAATAAGAAATTTAAAAGTTTAATGGTAAGTATTGATTAGGTTTTTTCAGTGTGCAATTCCCATGTAACTATTGCTGTTAAAGTGCATGGTGGTTCTCTAGATTTGCAGAAATGTGGTGTGCAGAAATACTTTCAGGTTAGAATCATGTCCATCATTCCTTTATATATTTGTGATGTTCAGTCTTAGATGTCAGTGAAGATGGTGTTGGTGTATGCTTAAAAATATTTGTATGTAAAATTAGAGCCAGCTTGGGGCCCTTCAATGATATGCTTGAGAGGGGAAGAAACCTGCACATGGTCAGTAACTGGTGAAGTCTCTGCATTCACCTGAGAGCAGAGATTACTCCCTGGTAGTATTCCTCTTCATGCTAACCACCCCAAAAAGGGCAGGGAGTAGGCTGGACAATGACCCCTGCACATCTAATAAGCCTTAGATGTCAGGGGACATTGTCCTGCCTGTTTCCTGGCCTGTGCTAATAGGGACTATGCTACCCCAGAACAGAAATTTTGTTTTTCTGTCACACATCAATATAGGCCAGTGCCTGTCGAGCACAGTCTGGTGCTCGGGTTGTCTCTACCCAAAGAGGGTTTTTTTTATTGTTGCTACCACTGGTTCCGCTCTTGCCGTGTAAGTAGTAGTGTTGATAAGGCTCTAGGTGGTTTCTGGCATTTTCAGTTTTGTGTTGGCTAACCCTGTTGGGACCAGCTCTGTCTAACCCTGTTCAGAATGTCTGGTGTATATAGAATAAACGTTGTGTCTTATCTATCATGGCACTCTCAACACTGACAAACTGTTCAGCTTTCAGCTGAGGAGTCCCACAAGCTGTTTAACCAGCGTTGTGTCCCTCTATAGCGTGGGTGGCCAAACTTACTGACCCTCTGAGCCGCATACGACAATCTTCAGAAGTTCAAGAGCCGAGGCACATCTGCCAGGGCTTGGGGCTTCTGCCCCTCGGGAGGCACCTGCCAGGGCTCGGGGCTTCAGCCCCACTCTGCTGAAGCCCCGAAACCCAGCAGGCATGCCCCGCGGTGCTGAAACCCCAAGACCCTCCTCCCCATTAGGTAGAACCCCCTATCTCACCACCCCACTGCAAGGCAGGGGTCCTGAGCTCTCCCCTCCCCCCTCTGCCCAAGTCTGGTAGGTAGAGAATAGAGGGGGTTGTGTTCTTTACCTGTAAAAGAGCTGCATGCAGCTTGCGAGCCCCAGTTTGGCCACTCCTTGTCTATAGCAAAGGGGGCATATCCAGAGAATGGACCTGTGACTGGAGTGCTGACATACTAAAGAAAACCTTAGCTGGAGTAATGGCCCATTGGGATCATTGTCACCCAGCCTAAGTAAAACAGCTGCTTTAATTTATGATGGGGGCCAAAGTGTTGTGGATTGGGGGAATACAAAAGTGGTCCCTCCCGCCACCTTCAGGTCCTACACCAAGCAAAGCTGAGCCACGCTCAAGAATTGAGCCCAAGTCGTCATAATTGCCTTGTACAGTGTGTTTTCATTTTGTTACTGATTTAAAATGTTTCCCCAGAATCCTCTGGTAACGGGGAGAAAACCTTTTGAATCCTGAAATCTTCTTTGGATGATTTTCTCAATAAGAATCCTGACCCTTTATTTTGTTAATACATATACATATAAGGAGTCTGAATGAAGTACCTCAAATGCATTTGTAAAATTTCACCAAGCAAGCTTTTGCTGGTATGGTGTTAAGGGAAGCTAGTTCAATATATTATATTTAGATCAATCAGTTAAATAACATTTACACTGCACCTTTCCTGCATACCGCTTCAGAGCACTCTACAAACAATATATTCAAATGAAGGATAATGCAAAGCAAGAACGGGGAAGGATGTTGCAAAACAAGACAGTCTTAAGACTTGATTTAAATTTAGCACATGAAAAAAAAGGGTTCCAGTCTTTAAAGCAAGAATATTCTGTGAGTGACAAGGAGTTAAACCAAGATCTACACTCAGTGTGATCCTATCTCAAGAAATCCTCATTTGAATGCAAGCAGCATAGACCCCATGGCAAGTACACTCCAAGCTGATTTCACAAACTGATGTGTGTCTTCACTTGGCAGTGAAGTTCTCTTAGAACAAGAGCAGTGTGCCCAGAGATCTCAGTTTTGATAACAAGAGAGCTCAGTAGAACTTGCAAATGCATGAGGGAAGGGGTAAACAAACATTTCAGTAGTCCATTTGGGAAATGATGAAAGGGATATCAATATCTTGTCAAGACATCTCATCTGGAGTCAGATCCTGCAGAATTTCCTTAGGTGATGGTGAGACAGTTTTACAGTGTGTTTGATACCAATCTCAAAAGAACGCTGCAAATCAGAAATAACTACAGGATTGCCAGCTTCGAAAGCAAAAGAATGGAGCTCCCATCAAAGGCGACAAACAGGGAAGATAACAGAAACCTATGCTGAAAAGGCCCATCAGTAGCAGTTTGGCCTTGTTAACATTCAGTTTGAAAAAGTTGCTTGATTCCCTAACCGTAGTATTATAAAGTATGCCATGCAATGGTAGAACAGACTGGTGGATCTATGTGAGCACCATTGGCATGTGCCATAGACCAATTACTTTGCTGTAGAGACCAAGAACATCATCAATACTGTCCAGAAGAAGCACGTAAATCCAGTACAAACTTAGTTTTTAGAGTGGATCTATGAGTGGTAGGGAAAACCAAATCAGCTATCATGAGAGCCCAAAGCAATGACCTGCAATGGCACTGTACATTTCTTTTAAGGTAATAAACAAAAGTAGGAGCTCTCCAACCCTGCTTTTTATTTATCAAATATACTGTGAAAACTATGGCTGTCATGTGGAGAACTTAGGGTGCCTGGCTATAACATGTAAGAATCCAGTAATATAGGGCCAGATCCTGAGCCTGTGTACTCGTATCTCAATTGACTTCAGTGGAGCCTGGTTTACATTGGCTGAGGATATGACCATTCATCTCTCTCTAGGCTCGTCACAGTAGATGTGTATATCAAATGTTTAAAGTCATCATTTTTCAAATCATTTTGGTGTAAATAATTAACACAAACGAAAGTTTTAAAACTGGTTCTCAAACCTTTGTACTGGTGACCCCTTTCACATAGCAAGCCTCTGAGTGCTACCCCCGCTTATAAATTAAAAACACTTTTTAATATATTTAACATCATTATAAATGCAGGAGGCAAAGCGGGGTTTGAGGTGGAGGCTGACAGCTCGCGACCCCCTAGGTAATAACCTCGCGACCCCCTGAGGGGTCCCGACTCCCAGTTTGAGAATTCCTGTTTTAAAAGTACACCTCTACCTCGATATAACGCTGTCCTCGGGAGCCAAAAAATCTTACTGCGTTATAGGTGAAACCGTGTTATATTGAACTTGCTTTGATCCACCGGAGTGCGCAGCCCTGCCCCCCCGGAGCACTGCTTTACCGCGTTATATCCAAATTCGTGTTATATCGGGTCGCGTTATATCGAGGTAGCGGTGTAGTTGATATTCTGTGATCCTGACATAAAATTTTACTAGGCACAGGGCCATTTCACTGATTTGTCAGTTAATAAAATCTGTCTTGTTATAGCAATAGACTTACTGTCTTAACCAAACATCATCAACTCCTCCCAACTAATCTGTACCAGGTTACACACCATTCATTTTGGTGTTCCATATACCAGGGAATCCATTTCCGAATGCTGCCTACAAACCACCCTTTCTAGTGCCTGTTGCCTTGGTTATCTGAATGCCTGGGTACTCACTGATTATTTGTGAAAGCTACTGCAATGCTGACATTGTAGCATGCCTGCTGTGTTAATATAAGATAACGGAATCCCAAATATTTCTTTTTGTTCCTGGCTTTTCTGTTTACTTGTAGTGCTTGGAGGTCAGTGATTGTGAACTACTAAAAGCAGGTGTGGATTTTACTTTTGGTTTAGACTCTACCTTTGAGCCAGCTACTGAGACGTACAACACTGTACAACATGGGACTGAAGAGCTCCAAAATTCAGTTCAGAAGTTTACCAATAAGACTGTTTTCATGAACTTACACTTAGTGCACTAGATCTTGGCTAAATAATTTAAGGGTCATTTTATTCATTGAAATTAATTTATTGCATGGACCACTTTAGATTTTTGTAGGAGATCCTAGGCTGGTTTTGGGGGGGTTTGTTTGTAAATCAGAATGAAATTATTGCTTTTTCCTTATTTGCACTGAAGCTTGGCCTGATTGATTTTGTTTTTGGAAACTTAAACATGGCAGAACAAAATGGGATTATTGAATGAATTGGTGACGGGAGTTAAGTGTTTACAATAAATGAATTACTGTATTTGATTTTGAAAAACGAAATGCCATGCTTGAAGGAACAGAATAATTAACTGAAGTGTGTTTGCTTTGATTTTCCTACCCAACGTTTACCCTCATTCCTTACTCTGTAGAGAAGCTCTGTACTGAACTTATTCACGTAAATCTGTTGATCCAATCCATAGACTGGCTCATTCAAATCTAAGGACTTGTCTACACAGTAATGTGCACTGCAGGGGTATGATTTCTAAATCACACTAACGTGTCGCTCATTTATTGGTCTCCGTAGACCCTGCTGGTGTGCATTAAATGTTCACTAGTGTGCTTTCACAAACATACATTAAAGTGCAGTAGGGAACATCTTATGCACACCAACAGGGTCTACATGGACCACTTAATGCACAGTATGTTTGTGTGCTTTAAATATCACAGACCCATTGTGCACATTGCCCCACCACGCAGACAAGCCTTAAGAGTTGCATACTAGATTTGAATACTGCATAGAAATATCATGAGTTCTTAATGTTTGGAGGTGTTCCTTCATATTTACAATGAGAACTGTATTGTATTGTACCTCCTTAGCTTTCATATTCTATTTTGGCAAATAATTTATGAAACATATGGAAAATTCTCAGATTGGATCCATGGAGAATGTGAAAAGCTGTGTACTCTGGACTTATTCCTGATGCCATCTGATACAATGCACATTATCTTATGAAATCACCTTGAAACCTTTACGTGGTCCATATACCTGAGGAGAAAGCACCTGTTGATTATAAGGCTCACACTGTTATCTGGTGTCTGTGTTTTCAGAAGAAGATTTGTGGAGGATCATTATTCATCACTGTAGTAAAAAGCTGAGAAAGTAAAGATAGGTACAGTGAGGAGTTAGCAAGCTGCTGACCTCCCCTTTTACCTTTGTTCCATAAGGAAAATATTAATTAATCAACCTGATTGAAAGGGGTAAATACGCCTTTCAAACAGAGAAGTGCGATTTTTTGTCCTATAAATTTGAATCAAAGCATTAGTAACTCAAGGACAACAAACTAAATAGAAGGCAGTGATACAAATAGGGTGTTGAGCTCATCTATGCAGGGAGTAGGTATTTTAGGTAACATGGCTTTATGTATATTTACTGTGCAATTATCCATTATAAATAGAGTTGGGTGGAAGTTTTTCAGCAACTAATAATCTCACCAAAAACGCATTTTTCAGGGCACCGAAACTGTTTGTGAATCTAGGTAAAATTCAGCAAAAAGTTTAATCTGCAAAAAAGATTTTTAAAATGTCAAAACAACATTTTGAAAATAAAATGCCAGTTTGACCCAAGTGAAATATTTCCATTTCTTGAATGAAACCAAATGCAATTATTTTCAGGGTGTTTTTTGTTTTGTTTTGTGTTTGGCCCTGAACTGAAAAATCAATTATTTGCTCAGCTCTAATGATAAGATCACCTGTATAAGAAAACTATCATTAACTGTATATCTTACTGTTGAAAAGAATGCAAATTAAATTTCCAGTAATGTTTTATTCCCTCTTGCTCAAAGGAACTTGTAGAGTACTACAAGCACCACTCTCTCAAAGAAGGTTTCCGAAGTTTGGATACGACTCTTCAGGTTCCATACAAGGAATCTGAAAATTCAGATGAACAAAGGAGTAATAAAGCAAGCAGTAACTGTGAGTATTATCATTTTACATATTATTTGCTGTTATTTTAACACTAAAAGCATAATGATATTTATATAAACATCTTCATTTTGCATTTTTGACATGTAACTAATTAATATGGTAATGCATTCAGCTAGGATTTTTCTACAGCTAAGCATAATCAGATCTGCCAACAGGTTTATGAACATGTCTAGTGAGACTTCCTTGCTGCCAAACTTAAAATCAGGTTAGTGTTCAAAAATCTATTAGAAATGCACGTGAGAGATTTAATTTGGAGGCTGCCTAGTTTTTGCAGATGTTTACATAGGCGGCACTGTTTTCAGTTACATGCATAAATAAGTAACCATTTCTAATCTTGTATTGAGATTTAAATAGATCAGTCATCTAATATAACTGCATTTTTGTAAATTAGGGTTTCAGTAAAGACACACACACAGTTTTTCAAGTAATATGTCATTTGTTGAATCATCTCATTTGTTTTTTTATACCTGTCTTTTAAGGCCATAATTTGCAAGCAACACTTCTAAAAGAGTTTTCAAAATACATACCATATAAATACCTGTTAAAAGACTTTGTATTTTTGGAGTAAATAGCTACAATATGTGTCAAGTATCAGAGGGGTAGCCGTGTTAGTCTGAATCTGTAAAAAGCAACAGAGGGTCCTGTGGCACCTTTAAGACTAACAGAAGTATTGGAGCATAAGCTTTCATGGGTGAATGCCCACTTCATCAGACGCAAAGCTTATGCTCCAATACTTCTGTTAGTCTTAAAGGTGCCACAGGACCCTCTGTTGCTTTTTACAATATGTGTAATATTGCTCTTATGAACATGTAACATGTTCCATTTTAAAGGAAAGTCTATAAAATTGTTATTGCCTTTTTAGAAGTTCAATGCTATTTAAAACAACTGTTATGTGGTCTGCTGAAAATATTTAATTTTTCCCTGAAAGAATATTAGACTTCACAGCATTTCAGGCAATGGCCTTATCTTTGCACTGCACCAGATAAGAAGAAGAATATAAAAAATAATGATGACTTCAACAATATGAAGACTGCTGTGAATGAAGATACAGTCAAGCCCAGTGTCTTGTGGCAATGATTTTGACTATTCCATCATTTTCACTTACTAGATTTCTTCTTGGATTTTCACTTGTTTAGCTATACTCCATGGACATGCATATATAATTTCCAAGAGACTTTCTCATTTTTATTTGGTAAAACAGGAGCATTAGGGGAATTTTAGGACACATTATTTTCAGATTATTTTTCATCCATTTTCATTGTTTTTCTTTGTTTCTTTCTATCATCCTGTTTCCTCTTTTCTTTCTTCTCTTGTTTTCTTTCATTGTTTCCCCTGGGTGTATACAGTACAATTAAACACCTGTGGATGGCCTGTGTCAGCGGACTTGGGCTCGGGCTATGGGGCTGTAAAATTTCAGTGTAGACGTTCAGGCTTGGGCTGAAACCTGAGCTCTGGAACCCACCCACTTCCCCAAGCCCAAACATCTACAGTGCAATTTTATAGCTGGGTGAGCCTGAGTCAGCTGATATGGGCCAGCCACAGGTGTTTAAATGTAGTGTAGACAAACCCTATGAGTTTTTTGAGTTTTCTCCCTCCTATTGTATCCCATGTTCTCTCAGGACTTCACGTCTGTTCCTAGTTATTCTCTGTCCTTGTCTCTTTTCAAATGATCTTTTCCCCCCATTATCCTATCTCCCTTCCTTTCCCCATCCCTCTCAATCTCTATGCTCTTTTCTCCTCACCCCTACCTGGCATGGAGTGCCAGTGCAGTGACTAGCATGAGGAGTGTACCCTGCCTGCCTTACCTTTGTGTTTATTTTGGTTATTCTCCGAGAGGAGCAGAAAGGAAGCACTGCCTCTTCTTATTAGACCAGCTGATAGGAGGGAGGCCCGGAAGCAGCATCTGTATCACATGTAAGAGTATTAACATATAGGAGAAATATCACAACTGTTGCAAATTCCTGCAGGATACAAGATTTTATATAGTGCATATTCCACTTCCTTTACTGCACTCCAGAAAAAAAAATCTGCATTACAGGAGTTCAAAAGGGATTATATGGAAGGACAAGAGAAATGAACGTGGGGCACTTTCCACTTAAGAGGTTTGGCAGGCTTGGCTTTGTGCTATGTTGAAATTCGAACATTTTCCCACTACATTTGCTGGTGGAAGCTGGAAAATTTCCCTCCGAGGCCAAATTGATGAAAAGTCTCTCAATTCTCAGATTCCCGGTGTAAAACCTAATATATTACCACAGTGCTAAAAACAAAACCCAGATTGTTTGATCCTGGATGACACTTTGGTTAATGGATTTGAAGGCTGTTATAAATCTGATTGAGCTTTTCCTTCTGGACACTCCAGACTTTAGTGCTGGACCCAAACCGTGAGTCTAGTGTTCTCTTGAGGCTCAGCAGAGTTTAGGCATTGTTTCTGACTTTGGGCCGCTAGGCACACACTCCAGATACAGACACCATATCTTGGCAGGCTCTGAAAATAGCTCCAGCTGTCCCAAGCCTCACCCGTAGCTGTTGCATGCTCTCAGAGTTCCACTGAAGCTGATTTACTGTTTCCCTTTTTGGGGCTATGTGACAGTGTAAGCAAGTAACACAGAGACTCTGCGAAGGAATTTCTAAACGAACACACTTTATTCTTAGACAGCACAAATGGTACAGATGATGGAAAAACAACAAAACCTGCACACAAAACTCGACCTCACTTTCCTCGCCACTCCCACAGTCCTTTGGGATTTGGTCAGTGACTTTTCTGGGGTCCAGGATTTTCCTCTCCCTGTTCTCCCCCTGCACAGCCTTGTCTGCCGCTCTCTCTCGCGCTCTCCCTTTCTATTGAATCAAGCCGTTTTTTCTGAAGTTGCAGTCCCCTTTATTAGGTGATCACTAGGAGCTGCTTCAAGTCCCTTTCTCAGGTGATCCACTGCTTGTTTATAAGGCCACTGGAGAAAAAGGGTTTCTCTGCCCCTCTCAAATATTGTTGGCAGATTATCTGCAACTCATGCGTTTAGTTTTACTGCTGCCCTGTTAGTTTTCACCAAGTTAGCATTACCCTCATAGTTAGGTATGTGAACCCTGCAATGTTTGATCTGCAAAGCAGTTAGAGAATTTGTACCCTGGAATTTTGTTAGCAGGGATTGCAACTTGGAAGCAAACTAGCTGCTGCAGATTTTTTGGACATTTGAGTTGAATTCACTTCATTCCCCAAGGGAATCTTCACTCAGCCAGTTCCTCTCTGACCACCTCCTGCTCTCCTTTGAAGGCATCTCATATAAGAAGGGATAGCTGTTGAGAGGGAGTCTGAATGGCAAACCTCCTTCCCCTCAGTTTGTCAGTTTTCCAGCTGGATGCATAACCTGAGCCCATGTTCACCAGATTTTCACAAGCACAGGCTGAGGCAATTAAATATGTCAAGCTTCCAACTTCAATCTGAGATTGAGTGGAGGTTTGAGAGAGACATTTTTCACTGCTCTGCTCATATGAACACCTGTTTAGCAGAGAGAGACATTTCTGACTTGGAGCATTTTTTAAAAATTTAGGAAGCTCTACTACAGACATTGCAAAAGTCCATCAAGTACTAATGCCAAATGTTTTGAGAAATCCAAAGGCAGCTTCAAATCACCTAATTGTCTAAGATGATAGGAAAAAGGGTTTTATTTTAAAGGTTTTATTTATTTCCCCTTTGAAAGTCAGAATATTAAATGGCTGTTAGGTTCTCCTGTAATTTTTTGATATGACTTTCAATACAATTTCCATATTATTTCTTAGAATTTCAGGCAAAGGGTGATTTGAAAGCTGGCCTGCTTGTGTCACAGTTCTCTCAATACTTAGTTGTTATGACTGAATTATCATTTCATTCCTAAAATTAAGTTGACTTTTCACTTACTTCAGAAAATTGTCCAGTGGTTCTTTTTAAACTCCCAATGTCCCAGGACTTGTCTCCTCTTTTTAGATGTTCATGGCACACTTTCAGTAGGCATGAGGATACCTCGTCAGCTATCAAATATGTCAAGACATCTAGATGTACTTGACTTTTTTCTTAAGATGAATGTAAACAAACAAAGATGGGTTTTGGTGCTGTGGTATGTTCTTTGGTCCCAATTTTCATTTCAGACTGCTTCTGCGTGCACAATGATTGCACCCACAAAAATGGGCATGTACTCTTTTGCGAGTAGAAAACATACTGTCACCCAAAGGAGAGCAACTGGGTGACCAGCAAACTGATTACTATAAATGTGTTGGAGATTTAATTAGTGTATCCTTAATCCTTTGATTACCTGAGGATACATTACATTTATCCATCAAAGCAGGGGCTAGCATACTGGCTGCACAAGTTTAAGTTCCTGAGCCAAATTCTGCCTTTTGTGTGTGCTCAGAACTTCCATTGAACTGAATGTGAGTAGTATATATGGATCCAAAACATCATTTAGTCCTTAAAGGATACGAAACGTGCACCTAATTCCCATTGATGTTAAGTTATCAGAGTAGACTGCTGTGATCCCTACATGCATGGTGTGAGGTCCAGTTTAACAAGGTACTTAAGAACATGCCTAAGTTAAGCATGTGAATAATCCTATGAATACCAATGGCAATACTTATGTACTTGAACTTAGACACATGCTTAAGAACTTGGCTGAGTCAGGGCCAAAAGCATTGTAAAATGTACAGGTATTAAGAAAAGAAACCACTTTATTTGTAAGAAAAAACAGTTTAAAATTCTTTTCTGCCAAACCCAAAATGGATTTATTTTTTATTTTTTGTTTTTGAAAAATGTAATTGTGAAAAATTAAATCATAGATCTACATTTTCCACTTTTCACAGTCAATTTCTTTCCAGACTTCCTCAGTGAGGAACCGTAGTTTCCTTATTACCAATGACTTACATAATAGAAATACTAATATTTAAATATTTTGCCAATATTTCAACATTCTTTTGCTTCTCTCTTTTTCTCTTTCTTTCTCTAAGCCCCCTCTTTGTTCTGT